TTCTACCCTTGACTTGCTTTCTGGCTTTTGGCAGTTCAAAGCCAAAAACGGAATTTAGAACTCCCCAAGGCTTGTTTGAATTTAATTGCCTTCCCATGGGACTCCATTCCAGCCACATTCCAACGGCTTATGGAATTGGTTTTGGCAGCGCTCCAGTGGGACTCGTGCCTCATCTATCTCGATGACGTCACACGTCTTTGCACGTACATTCGAGGAGCTCCAACAACGGTTGCGAGCCATCTTTTTCTTAATACGGGCAGCCAATTTAAAATTCAAGCTGCAAAAATGCTGCTTTTTGCAGAGGTCGGTCCCATATCTGGGCCATATTGTGAGTGAATTCGGAATACCGACAGACCCCGACGAAACGGCGTGTGTGCGTACGTGGCCGACCCCCAAGACGGTGGGTGAAGTGCGAAGTTTTATAGGGTTTGCCTTCTATTACCGTCGATTTGTGCCCGGCTTTGCGACTATGGAGTCGCCCCCATTTCGTCATGCCTCACGCATGACGAATGGGGGCGACCCCAGATGGAGGACGCCTCCCTGCTCAAACTGCGGCGCCGTGTCGGTAAGGCACAGGGTCAGGGTAACGGATGAAGAGTATCGCCGTTATTCCTTGACGGGGGCTTGCTGATGAGATGGGACGAGGAATTCCATCGATGCACCCTACAGCGATTGGCAAAAGCTAGGGAGGCGTCTCTGAGCAACTCGGCCTTGCAGCAGGCGGCCAACAAACGCCTCGTCAGGCCCCACCAGTCCACGACTCGATGGATGCAGGGGACAAGGCATGCCTCCACTGCCCCCATGTCCCGATGGGTACCTCCCCAAAATTAGACAAACCATCGCAGGGCCCGGTCGAAGTGGTGGAGGTGAGGAGTCCGCCGTGCGTGCGGATTCAATGTGGTCGCCGCCGCTCGTTTGTGTACCCGTCGCGGCTAAAAGTTTTTTTCCACCTGCCCATTAGTCTTTCATCTCTACTTCCCGAGGGCCGGGTGTCTGGTCAGTCCGATGAGCTGGGGCGCGTCGGCTGATGTCCTTCCTCAGGACAGTTATATTGTTCCGCCCACAGGGTCCAAGCGCCTAACGCCCCCAATGTCGCCGGTAGTGCCGGCCCGGGGTGGATGGGGGAGTCCGGATCCGCCATCGCCTGACACCCCATTGCTTGGGGGTTCTTCGCCTCGGGAGGTCCCGTGCTCATCGAGTCATCTTCCGGCTGTTCCCGGAACGTCCAGGGGGCCCGCACCCTCCTCGCTTGATGACCCGGCATCAAGGACTCTGGAAAAGACTGCTCGATTTAAATGACCATCCTCCGGCGTTAAAGTGCACCTATACCCGTGGTCCGCGGGCGCCACTCGAGCCAGATGGGTCAATGGCTGACCCGGGCTCATCTTGTGCTCGTGTGCGGTGTTACATATGCGGGGTGTGGTTGTGGGCTTGTCTGGGGGGTGGGTCAGCCATTGTAAATAGTTGCAACTTTTCTTTTTCCCTTCCCCTCGTACGCTTCTTCTCCCTGGTCCTGATTTTGGTGTAAATATCGTTTTATTCCTCGTTGGGATTATTTATTGTTGTTGTTGGTGCGTTAAAAGTTGGAGGCCCACACGTTGTGTGGGTTTTATGTCGGTCAGCTGAGATGGCTGAGTTTCATAAAGGGGTGGGTGATGTTTAGACGTAAATAGCGTCTCTACGGCGTATAAGCCGACTAAAACCACAACTGGTAAATAAGTGTGCACATACCTCTCGATGGGGCCGACGTAGACGTGGCGGGGAAACAGGCCCTACAGAGCAGGGTCCCGTCCCAGAGAGAGAGAGGGGACGTGCTGACACGGAGTAGTGAAGGGGGCCCGGAAACGGGGGGAAAGGGTGTGGCTGGAGGCGGAGCAAGGCCACGCTCGAGAGAATAAGAGGGACGGAGGCGGAGCAATCGGGGTTATCTGGCGGGAAGAGCCTACCTTGCGGCGTTGCTTCGGGGGACTTGGAGCGTCGTTCGTCGGGACTCGGTTTGCATAGACACCCCTTTGGGGGTCTCGAATAACCCCGAGTATTTGTAGCCCGCAGCCCTGTTCAGTTGTTAATAAATCGTGGTGCCTCCAGACTTTTGTGTGTGCCTCGTGAGATACACACACTACACATATATAGCAATCGGAACATGACTAATAGGTTGTGAATGGTGAACATAGAGGCCATTATTTGGGTAGTTTGTTCATTAAAATGTTATTTAACCTTTTCAGCGTTTAACACGTAGGCTTTTGCGACCAGTATCATCCATAATACAGGTTTTTTGGGTTAGATCGCGTAAATTTATGCATAATCTACATAATATAACCAACAAAACCCCCTTAAACATGTATTATGGATTTTTGGTGTTAATAGTTAAAAAATGGCTGCCCTGCAGCTACGGATTTCGTATTGAGTTCCAGGTGTTTGTGAGCTAGGTCTTATAAGTGTTTTGAAAGCGATTACTTTAATTGGTGATTTTGTTCGGAGAAAATTATTTGTTCTATGCATTTATGAATTGTACAATATTATTTGCCTCCTTTTAATCATATAATTTGATATAACAATGTATAAATGTATTACTATTATAAGTAAATACTGTACTATTTAATATATGTGTAGTGACTGGTAATGTCACTACTTTACACACGCACATGTGTGACGTCACTACTCGGGCGGAGCGTTACTACCCTGCGGGTCCACACACATGGACGGAACACACATGACGTCATCCCGGCTAGTGGTGGGAATGATGTTAGGTCTGGACTCGGGAGGCCACAGGGGGTGGTGTGAGGCCGTGGCACTCTGGGTGAACCCGGCCGGACACGGGACCGAAACCCGGTGGGGGGCCGGGGGCCCCGGGGCCACTTTAGGGGGCACGTGGGAGCCGAGGGGTTTCGGAAAGGGCTCTCGAAGGAAGGCGTGGAGCCCGGACACGCCGAGACCTATATAAGTGGCCTCATCTCTGTATTCGGGGCTGCCTGTATGAAGAATGAAGATGAAGCGTGAAGACGCCAACAAGAGTCAAGCCTCAGGTCAGCGGACCCGCCAGTAGCCCACCTGGCTGGGTCACGCTAGGGTATCCGAGAGTCAGTGCAAGAGAGGACGTTGTGTGTTAGTTGGAGAAGACGGTGTGTGTTAGCGAGAGTAGGACGGTGGTTACCACCCTATGTAACACAGTGTTGGTGTTAATAAATAGTGTTGCCTCCCAAGAAGTTGTGTTTGCCTATCTGAGCCCACTACATATGTATAATTATAAAGGGAAAACCGGAGATGGGTGAAGTTTGATTGTGCTACAATGTACACTCAAACTTTGCCCCTCGTGGATTTGACTGTTTATGCCAAATTTCTTGAGGTATATTTCGCCGATTGTGTCCCTATTGCTTGACCATTCGCGTTTGACCACAAGATTCCTGTGTGCATTGTAAAGAAGTGCTGTCCTCTAACTGCACTGCTCGCAATGATCCTGCTGCATAAGTTAGTGGATCATGGTTTTGGTGATTGTGGCTATTTTCAAGAACACAACCCCCGTGTTGGGCAAATATTTGGTGTATTGATTTTTAAATGTGCCGTTAAACATTTCGACCACTGAAAAACACAAATGTGTTGATGCTCTAACAGTCACTTTAATGAGGGCTCGCGATCGCGGCCGCCCGCGCGTCGGCCTGACGCACGCGCGGTAGCGCGCACGTACGCTCGCGTTAGAACGAAGCGGCATTCATGAATCCTCATCGGTGCTCGAGTATGGACGCGTGAAGCACGCGCTCCCGGGTCGCGCTCACAGCAGCGGCTGGCGGGGCCGTTTGTTAGGGGGCCGAGGGAGCCGATGGAGGGAGCCGGGGGAGCCGACGGGGCCGGGGGAGCCGGGGGGGGCCGACGGAGCTGGGGGGGGGGGGCGACGGAGCCGGGGGGGGCGGACGGAGCCGAGGGGGGGGCCGTAATGAAAATAAAAAAAGATGGCCGCCTGGGGTGCGCGCTCCCGACGGAGCCGGGGGGGGGGGGGGGGGGGGGCCGACGGAGCCGGGGGGCAACGGCGCGAGCAGAGGGAGCCAACACTGACTTTCTCACACATCATACACTGATTCACTCACGCATCATACACTGACTCACTCACACATCATGCACTGACTCGCTCATCATGCACTTACTCACTCACACATCATACATTCGCACAACCACTGACCCATTCACTCATCATACACAGGTTCACTCATCGTGCGCTGGCACACTCACATTGCCGCTGACTCGCTCACACATCATACACTGACTCATTCATCATGCGCTAACACATCGTGCGCTGACTTACACATACACTCACTTACACTACCACTGACTCACTCACACATCATACACTGACTCACTCACACATTATAAACTGACTAACTCACACATACACTCACTCACACTACTACTGACTCACTCACACATCATACACTGACACACTCATCATACGCTGACTCGCACATCATACGCTGACTCGCACATCATACAGTCACTCATGCTGCCGCTGACTCACACATCATACACTGGGATTGTCATGCTGCCAGCTATGGCTGCAAGTCTGGTCATACGTGTTATGTATATTGTTTATTGTTAAATTTAAATCACAGTTCCTATGATTACTGTTGTTACATTACTCTTTGGTTCTTTCGGTAAAATCACGTAGGTATAAAATAAAATAAATCACAAATCAAGATTGTTGTTACATTATTTTATAGCTTTATTTTGGTGATTCGAAAACATGGTTAATATAAATTGTCTTATGGTTGTTGTTGTTGGCTTGCACCACATTGTGATTTTTGCACACAGCGTTTTAAAACGTTTTTTTTTATATTTGCTGGTTTATTCCAGGATGTTTCTGTTGGGCGTCGTCGCTTTGGGATGTTCTGTGTTCATATTTTGTTTGTTGCGGTTCCACCCGACTCAAGAGCCGCATGGGTCACAGGGCTATACCTAATAAATGGAACTTGAAAACACTGCCTGGCTGTGTGCACCTCTCCCTTCGACAGACACGCAACTCGCTTGTGGCGGCGTACTACACGAACCGCGCGCTCTGCTTCGTCAAGCTTCAGCAGTGGGAGAAGGCGGTGTCCGATTGCAAGCATGCGCTGGAACTTGACAGCCAGTCGGTCAAGGGCCACTTCTTCATGGGCCAGAGCCAGCTGGAGCTGGAGAACTATGATGAGGCCATCGCCAACTTGCAGCTGGGTCTGCACATGCACCAACTTGCATTTTGCACACGTACACCAAGCTTGTACACACTTACACACCTTTCCGGGTAACTTATATGTCCAACATTAGCTTGCAACGACTTTCGTTGATTTAAAAGAGCACATTTATCTGGAAACAAACTTAGCCATGCTTGGTGCCACTCAAAAGCCAGGCAAGAGGTGGGCCTTTAAGTGTCTCTTAAAAGGAGATGTAGATTGAATGCTACAAATGTGCAGTGGTATGGCGTTCCAGACGGTGGGGGCTACTATGGAGAAACGACGCCTGGCAGTGACCATCGTCCTGGTCCTCAGTGTAGAGAGGAGGTTGTGAGTCGCGATGCTGCTGTTACTACTGCTGCGGGGATTCTTACCGTGAGCTCTGGTGCAGGGTGAGAGGAGTGAAGAGAGACACGGTGGACGACCGAGTAGAGGTACGGTGGTGGCACAGGCAGGCCATGTTGTAGCTCGACCCTGCCGGAGATGATAGGAAGCCATTGGAGGGAGCGGAGGAAAGGTGTCGAGTTGAGGATGACCGTTACGGAGGATGACATGGGTAGGATATTTTTGCAACTGTTGGAGTTTCTTCAGGTTACTTTATGAAGATCTAACAAGGATGGAGTTGCAATAGATATATTATCAAGCCACATATGGAATGAAGGCCTCCAAGCCATGATGTAACAATCCATTTAGCACCTGCACACAAGCAGATTCCATTAATCTGTCTTTGTGCTGAATATATTTTTAGTGCGTTCCCTCCTTTGGCTGTCACATTATTAACTGTTAAAAAGTTAAGCAGGTTTGGGCAGGACACATCGCTTGAAGGTGTAATAGTGCTGATGGCATGGTCGCTAAAAGAGCGTGCATCCAAGAGGATTGCCATCAAGGAGATGGAGTGATGAGATAAGTTCATGTGCAGGAAATGAAATGGATTTTGGTGGTACAGGACTGCGATGAGGGATGGTGAAGGTGTGGGGAGGCCCTTCATCCAGCAGTGAAGAGACAAAGGTTGATGTTGATTTGTCACCGTTGTCCACTGTTAATTATTAACCCTCCACTGCCATGATTGAGTTTTTTTGGTCTATCGTGGCAGAACCTCGGTTGCTTTAACAATTTACACTTACCTACTTTATATACTGTACATATATCAAAATTTAATACATTAACTATTGAACCTTCTGGATAAGTGAATTCCAGTAACATATTTTTTTAAGAAAACAGTCCCTGGACCGGTTCCAACATTCTCATCAGCAAGATGTTGTCGCCTTGCTGATAGATTTCAACCGAGTAACTTTCTGTTACAAGTCACAACGTGACATTGTAGGGCCCAAATGAATTAAGCTTGAGCAAATGACCAAAAGAGACAGCACTTAATTACCATGGTTAGTGTATATATGTGACAATATTAGTTTGGAAATGTGTGCGTGTGTATTAACCGTAAATATATACGCTGTGTAGTTGACAGTGGTCGCAAAAGATCCAATTACGGCATTCAGAAGAATAGGCCATTGTGTGCTGGCCTCTTCTATTATAAAAGCCCGGCGGTCCGTTTGTCCATCAATTAAATTATAAGAGCCTTTCAGAAGGCCTGAATCAAAAAGTTATACAAAGTGGACCCACCCACCCCTGGATGTGGGGGTACAAAATGTATCCACCAGTTTTCCAAAAATTGTCGACCCCCCTCCGAAAAAAAAAATCACTCCCCCGCAAAAAAGAAATGTATTTTCTCGGCATATATTCCTATGCACAAAAGAGTCCAGATTTATTTTTTAAGGCAGGAGTAAGAATAAGGCAGCCATAGGCCGCCGACATTCTAGTGATCTAAATTTGACATTCATAAATTACCCGCTCATTACTCAATTGGGATTATACACCACAATAATTTCCCCTGACTGTGAGACTAATTTACTCTATGAGATCTCTTTTACCAGTGGCAAAATATAGTAGTAGGTTTTTACCCTTTTAAACTGGTACAAAACTGACACCTTTATTCAAGGCATCATGTTTGCAATAACCACAACACAAGTAGTCAAAAAAGCAAACAAAAAGAAGCAACTCTGATAATGATAATAATATGCACTGTCTTTGAAGTTGATTGGTCCACACCCGAGACGGCTTTCTTTAGAGCCTAGTCCCCATTGGTGTTGGACCAGATGACACCAGTTGTACGCCTTCTGGTGTCATCTGGTCCAACACCAATGGGGACTAGGCTCTAAAGAAAGCCGTCTCGGGTGTGGACCAATCAACTTCAAGGACAGTGCATATTATTATCATTATCAGAGTTGCTTCTTTGTTTGCTTTTTTGACTACTTGTGTTGTGGTTATTGCAAACATGATGCCTTGAATAAAGGTGTCAGCTTTGTACCAGTTTAAAAGGGTAAAAACCTACTACTGTGAGACTAATGTTCACTTGCAGGCTGGTGCTGAGTCACCTTGTGCCGCAGAGGAACACAGCTGCCTTTAGGGGGGTCCACTAAGCTATAACTGCGCTCTGGGATTCAGTGTTATGTTATGGGCACAATATAAATACTGCACATCTCGTGAATAAGAGCTTCGTATCTTATCGGATTCTTACAGTCTAAAAACATATTCTGATTCTGATAAATGCAAATATTATTCATTAGGTCTGTACATCTTCTAGGATTATTACATTGAGGTAACAATTGATACACAGATGATGAATGAAAATACCTGCAGTAATTCAACAGGATAAATGGTATACAGGGTGCTTTAAAAATGTTAACACTTATATGGGACTATCGTTTTTAATGGAAAAAGAACGGATAATACACTGTAACATGATAACATATGTATTTTAATAGCTTCAAAAAGTCAGTCTCCACTTGTTCACCATCATTGTCAACACATGCCTGGATTCTTCTCCAGGTGGTCTCCAGAGCCCGGAGGCACATTTCTCGTGGTATTGTTGCAAATTCCCGGAAGTGTTAACATTTTTTGGAAGCACCCTGTATTGTGGTAGTTGGTAGCGGTCCTATAGATAACGTATGTTGTTGCAAAACCGGCACCCGATACAGACACACAGTCTGGCGACACTGTAGATTAGAGCTGCCGTCTTCCATCCAGGATAAGCACGTGTGAACTGCGGCCCTGCCGCTCTTGCCGATGTGTCTCCGTGTGTCCCTCAGCGTACAGCCTTGCCAAAGAGCAGAGGCTGAACTTTGGGGATGACATTGCCAGTGCGCTACGGATGGCCAAGAAGCGCAGGTGGAGCAGCTTGGAGGAGAAGAGGATCCAGCAGGAGATTGAGCTGCAGGCCTACCTCAACAGGCTCATCACGGAGCAGAAAGAACGGTAGGCAGGTGTCACCATTGCCTTCTTGTCGAACATATTTCTGTTGATAAAAATAGAGTAAAAGTGTAAAGTCACAGTGATTTCTTGTTCAAATGAGCATTGAGAAGATGCTCATCTCCTGAGCCATTGGTGGAAATTCTACATTCCTATAGTGGATGCGAGTCTATCCATAGGACTCCCACTGTTAAATTCTTCACAAAGTGGTACCCATTTAACAACCCTGGAGGGATGATGAGCTGAATCAACCTCTCAAACAGCATTTATGTTCACTCTACCACTTGGCCACCAATCCTATGACCAAATCAACTGGAATGCACCAGATCTTGACAGAACTTAGACGCTAAGCAGGTTTGAGACTGGATAGTGCTAGGATGGGTGACTGTCATGAACAGATCTGTAGGGTTATTTGTTGGGCAGCAAACGGCAGTGCAAAAACATCAATCGGGTTTCTCTACTTTCTGTGTTCCCACATCTATGCTCCCCACCTCCAGCTCGCAATGACCAGTGTGGTGAAATATGGTAAAATAACTTCCACAACCCACAGAGCTTGAGGTGGCCCTCATCCAGCAATGGATTGATCAAAATAAGACTGCAGATGCATATCAGGTACTGTAGTGATCGCAGTGTAATTGGGATCATTTTTGTATATTACATTTGATCATAGTGAGATGTATCTGGTTTGTTTAGCTACATGTTATTTTCCCCATATATATATTTTTTAACAAAGTGTACCTCTTATGCCATCAGAATACTTATCATAGGAGAATATATTTCAGTTTATGCTCTCTTTTAAGAACTGGACCGTGTATGCTGGCAGTGAATGAGGCCACACAGAGGGTATTATGTTACGATGTGTTATCAGCACTGAAAATGACATAGTTGTAGAGGTCAACGGTTTTGGTTTAATCTTGAATGTCATTTTAGTAATCTTGGGCACCGCATCACTGAATTGATTGTGGTTGAGTGTTTGTCTTACAATATCTTAATTGAATGTTCTAAGAGAATCAAATTTGTTCCACATTAGAATCTGCTGTGAGACATTTACGTCTTGAACTCTGTGAGTGCTGGTACCCAGCCACGTTATATTTTGGACATTTAGTGCACCTGTCCTATTGATAGACTAACCACTGTCATAGGAATCTTTAATTACCACTACTGGATCTGGGCTGTAATCAGCAGATGAGCACCACCAAATGCTCATTTTAACACAAAATCAAGTTTATGGTACTGTTGTATAAATTTATGTTATGTTGTGCCAATATTTAAGCACAGTACGAAACATGAGTGTAATGAATAGGGATCTAACAGTGTTGTATTAATATAGATTCTTCTAGCTTGCGATACATGCATCAGATTTCCTGTGTAATAATCAATGAGTATGTATTGTATGTAATGGGTTTGTGCGATCCCTGGGGTGGCTAGAGACCACCACATTCGCTAAAATGAAAAAAATACATAATGGAACCTTTTTGCCAGTATCAAAGTATGACAAAAAAAATAGGTTTTACCCTTTCTAGCAATAAAAACACGTCTTAAGATGTTCAAATACTAAATAGAGACCTTTTGCAAGGAATCAAGTTTGCATTAACCACACGTACTTGTGGTGAACATGCAAACAAACATGCTCTGACAATAGATGATGCAATTTCTTTGAAACTGATTGGCCTACACCAGAGACAGCCTTCTTTAGGGCCTAGTCTCACCAGTGTCAGATTACTTGCAAAGGGTTTCAATTTTGTGTTTGAACATCTTAACACCTATTTTTATTGCCAGAAAGGGTAAAACCTATTCTTATTTTTTCATAATATATACATACATAACCTTGAATTGAATCATGATCCTGAATCTAAGCATATCTGTCTAATCAATGCATGACAGTTAAGTTCCTTCCATTGAAATAGTAATGGAGCCACGGAAAGCCAGTGAGTGGAATTTTTGAAAAATAAATCTTCCCACAATGCATTGTGCCAGCAACACGAAAAAATGTTACTCTCATACAAATGAGTTAATCAGCAACACTTTCGGTTATTTAAGTTTTTCACTGGTATTGACAGACTGAGTGAATAAAAAAACGGTTTTATACTCTGCCCCGCAGGGAAATAGAGGCATATAAAGAGAAGATAAAGAATGAAAAAGAGGAGCAATTGACATCTGACGATATTGAAAACATCGAAGGCAAGCATGTAAGTGGGATGTGAACTCTGCATCCATTCACTGCGTGGACATTTGGTGCGCTATTTCATATTCTACTTGTATGTCTGACTTTTGCACTGTCATAGACAGTTTCTAGTGGATAGATAATTATTTTATGTTGTGAATATGTATTTGCATGTATTATATTATTATGACTGCTCTCATAACTTTGTGAACCATAGCACCGACTGAATTCAAAGTAGTTGTGATTATAAAGCTGTGCATGTGTAATGCGAGCGTAAATGGGGTTGTTTCTGGGCTCTGGTCCAATCGCACGGCCCGGGGTATTGGGGGGCGGAGCCTGGTCTGCGGGGCGTGTGGGAGGGGCCACCGTTCACCTCGGCTCCAATGGGAGGTGAGGTGAATGGGGGCGGAGCCAGCGGGGTAGTATGGGAAAGCCGGATCTGACGATCCGGAAGGGGAGGAGTCAGGGTCATGTGGGAGGAATGTATAGAAGGGGGAGCCCGGAAGAGATCGGGGCAGTCGGGAAAGTTAAGAGGCTGAGCCACGTTGGGTGGTGAGGAAAGATCCGCGCCATCGGCCACGTGGTCGAAGGACCTCAGCACGCCGTCGGCCAGCGGTGTGCGGAGTGCGGGAATAGAGGAGCTAACGGAGGAGCGTGCGGGGCACGAGAGAGAGAGAGAGAGAGCGGGCGTAGCACGCGAGAGAGAGAGCGGGCGTAGCACGCGAGAGAGAGAGAGCGGGCGTAGCACGCGAGAGAGAGAGAGCGGGCGTAGCACGCGAGAGAAAGGGAGCGTGCACTGGGCGCGCGCGAGACGACACTGATCTGAGAGGAGGCCAGTGGGGGGTGCGGAGAAGAACCTAAATTAAAGACAAGAGGAGACCAGCAGTGCCTGACGGAGTCTTTTATTACACATGCATACTGCTCTTCAAGATTAATTTTTACCATTCCAATCATTTCAATGGACTTTAATGTGGTTTACAAATTCCTTGCATCAGCTTTTGCACTCATGTTGATTGGTTATAAAACTATCGACCATTTACATCCAATGCCTCCATCTGACATGTCAACTCTGTTCCCAAATTTGTTTTTTCTAATCAGTTTGGTGATAATGTGTTGGTTGTGACTGATGCGAACATATGGATTTTTTTTCACATTATTTTAATTAGTCTTCATGTAAGCTTGCAACTTTAAAAAGAGCACACAATAAAGACAACGACCAGCAATTTTGTTAAATGTGATTTTTTTATCGCATTTGCTGAGCAAAGGTCCAACATATCAAGCATCCAACAACAAACACATGCATGTCAAGTCTCACAGGTTGCTCTTGCGACTCATGGTATCCATCTCCACCCCCCCATTATCTAGAAGTAGCCTTGCCCTCATCTGCTTGACGATTGAATGTTTCTTTTCCTCCAATTCTCAGTTTCTTAGGGTTTTCCCAAGGTTTTTCTGTCAGGGTTTCACTGACTTGAACCCTTTGGGGTTGACGTGTGTTGAACATTTTTTTGTGTGAGATGGTTCTAAGTGTTATCGTTTTCTTGCATGCAGCGTGCCAAGTGAGCGCGAGTGTGTGGCTATATCTCCATCGTACCCAAGAATAATTTAACAATCACACAGGCGAGGGCACGTCTACTTTTGGACAGTGGGGTTTTACCATATATAAAAGTTGCAACAGATACACGTTTACACATTTGTTGAATAGAGCAAGGTTATAAGAAATTGTGAAATTGTTTCCAAGTTGGCACTTGTTTATCTTGACAATGCACATGACAGAGTTTGTTTCGAGATCTTAATCTGTTTTGTTTTCTGCCAGGACAAGTGGATGAAGGAGCTCAATGATCTGTTTTCGCAAGTGGATGAGAGACGGAAGGTATGCTGGTATTTTGGTATTAGCGAGGCCTGTCGTCTGTATAAAATCTGTATATCTCAAAAACCTCTAGGGTACTTCCCGACAAGGTAGAACTCTGAAATTTGGTACATAGGTAGCTTTTAGGACACAAATAACAGGAACAATCTGAAAATCCAAAAATTAACATTTTCAGACCCACAAATCTCTATTTTTAAATGCCCCATAAGCATGTTTGTGCGTGTCATTCAGAAACAGTTCAAATATAATATTGCAGTTTTTTGTTGTTTAATGGAGCGTGAAATGGCAAAATAAAATTAAAAGCGAGAACCATTGATATAAATATTAATTCAATCTTTACTTATTCATTGTTTTTGAGATATTTCGGATTAAAGCGGGTTTGAATGAAAAAAGTACGCATTTTGTGATGTTCAAACTCGAATAATTCGAAAACGGTAAAACATAGGAGTTTCCCCTCAGAATATTAAGTTAATTATTTTTGTTCTTTAAATTGAGCGGTTTCTGATGGGTACATCTTGAAATATAATAAGTTGAATCAAGTTGTCAACAATTTCTTTTTGTGAAAAACTATATATATTTTTTAGTAGTTGTTAGTGTCTGGTTGTAGATAAAATAAAATAAAAATCCTATCAGGTTCATTTGTATATTTATTGCCTGGCGAAGACAGGTTTTATGAACTAGTATACATATATAACACAAAGCTCGTATTGTTGTGGAGAATGAGTAACTAAAAGAATGAGCAAAAAAATGCGCCTTCACTTATCTATCCCTCCCTTTACTTGCATTCTCCACAACGACGCTGATTATTTTGTCTTATGTGTTACATATGTGTTATATATGTTTCTGTTGAACTAGGATCCATAACTAACATGGAGGGTCATTTCTAATAAACATTGGGCAATTTAGCAATGGTTTAAGCATGCCTGACTGTGGTGATGAGACACTATACGTTGAAACCTGTCGTACATTTTCTTGTGTTGAATCATTGCTGCTGCAATGCACTCCCAGAAGGGGATGTGTCCCTGATGGGATGGGTAAACAAAACTTACATTTTTTACGTGGAGGGACAGAATGTGGAGGTGTATTGTCTGCTTATTTATTTTCCTATTGTTTAGAGCCCACATGGCAGTGGAGGAGCTGGGAGATCCACTCAGCTTGCTGCGTTAACGTTTTTCCTTAGCCAACAATAATTTTTAGAGCGCTTGGAACATAGCAACTGCCAGAAACAATCTGGGTATGCATCTTCTTGGTTCTTTCGGTAAAGTCACGTAGTAGGGAAGTAATAAAATAATAAAACATAAAACAATTCTCACAACACCAAAATTATCTATGGCAGCATATAGTGTGGGATAGACCCGTGTGATGTAAGGAAAAAGTTTAAAAAGTTTAGCTGTAATGTATTACTTACGGTTGGTATCTCAGCTTATTGAGTGTATTTGGCATACTGATGATACTATGAAGTTTATACATTAGCTTGTTACGTGGTTGTTTGGTTTCTGCAGCTGCACACTATTAACATTCCTTCCCTTTGTTGGTGCTGCCCCTGCCCCCTCCCTTTGATGCTGCTAATCCTGCATAATGCATGGGCATAATATGAATTTGAAAACCCCCCGCCCACCTCCCACGCATTTCACAATTAGCACTATTCGCATTCCTGCATTTCCCATAAATATGCTAAATTCCTCTTCAAATGCAAATTATTTTGTCAAGGTGCTCTTCCTCCTTGCTCCCAGCTTAAATAGACGCTCCAAGCCTAGGACGTGTCATTCAGACTCTGTCTTATCGACAGACATGTTCTTCACCTGAGGACGGCTGCTTGCGTTGTGGCCGAAAGGTCGTGAGAATTGTTTTATTATGTTTTATTTTTATTATTTTATTACTTCCCTACTACGTGACTTTACCGAAAGAACCAAGAAGATGGTATTTTATTTTTTGCGAAAGCTTTAAATCGAAATTTAATCTGGGTATGCATTTCATGCTAGCAGCAAACATGAGTCGGGGATGCATACGCAGCTGTTGAACACGTGACCTAAGTGTTTGATGTACAGTGTATAGTGTCACAGTAATTTTTTTCTTGACATTTGCTTGATCACAACCGTATCGGAGAGATTTTTGAGAACCTCAGTGAATACTTGAGATATTCAGAATGCAGAATGCAGAGACATCCTGATCAAACTTTAATGTGAGTAATCAATCACCGGTGCATCCTTGCGTGCACATGCCTGCCCATGGTACACAATTGTCTGCCGGAGCAAATGTTTGATGCAGTTGGGTGCAACAAAATCGAATGCAGATAATACAGAGCCTGCTCAGCCTCCAATTACAGTAATAAGCTGCTGTATGTATTTCGGAAGTGTGACCGGAGGGTGGCATAGTGGTGCAGTGGTGACACTTATGCATCACAGCAAGAAGGACCAAGGTGTGATTCCCTACTACTGTGTGGAGTTTGTATGATGTATGAATATATTTTGAACTTCTTTTACATAGCCAACTGTGCTAATCGGAATTGGCATTGAGGTGATGCTCATCTCACGTTTGCAGCTCTCAGCCTGTAGCAGAAACTCCACATTTATATGGTGGGGCTGAGTCTATCCATAGGACAACCACTGTTGAATTTCCCACCGTGGTACTCATTTAATGACCCCATAGGGCTGATAAGCTAGCTGAATCAAACCCCAACGAGGATTTGAACTTGCAATTGCGAGCCGCTCGCTTGAGCTCTGATACCTGGTTGGTTTTTCAAGGATTTTTTTGATGATGGAATATCTATTTTGGTCAATATTTAGCTGTCTTTCCATCTTGCATCTCCCGATAAGTGTGTTATAAAATTAATGCTTATTTTTGCTGATGTGCACATAGTTGAGAGTTTTTATTTCAGTGTGATTAAATTCATATTGCTTGGTTGTTCATTGCAGACTCTCACCCAACGCCAGTTGTAACGCATTAGAATACGCCGTCATTGCAGACTATTCCACGATTGGCATTGCCAGATTCAAACACAGGGTAGTCTCACACACAGCCAGCTTGTAATAAAGGAAATCTTTAAATAATACAAACTTCAGAGAACGACATTACCCACCACATCCACAGTGAGGAATTTGCTACAGAGCTTTTTATACTATGGGGACCTCATTTGCCAGTAAAAATATGATAATTGGTTCTTTACCCTTCTATCTGGCAACAAAACTGACACCTTTTTGCAAGGAGTCATGTTTGCATAGACCACAATACCTGCAGTCATAATACAAACAAAATAACATAACTCTGATAATGTGCATAATTTTATTGGCAAATGAGATCCCCATAGTGTAGATGCTTGCCCCGAGCTCTCATACTCTGATGGTGCATTAACCTTGAGTTGTGCGCCTTTTGGCGTCATCTGGTCCAACCCATATGAGACTAGGCTCTAAGGAAAGCTGTCTCGGGTGTGGACCAATCAACTTCAAGGACAGTGCACATTATCAGAGTTATGTTCTTTTGTTTGTATTATGACTGCATGTATTGTGGTCTATGCAAACATGACTCCTTGCAAAAAGGTGTCAGTTTTGTTGCCAGATAGAAGGGTAAAGAACCAATTATCAGAGCTTTTTATGTCGCTCAATAGATGTTATGAACAGATGTTGACATGCTCTAATTTAATTACTCCCCTTCCTGCGACATTTAATTTGTTGGAAATTAATCTCTTTACCAAAGTTTAGCTCACGCAAAGTTATATTGTAACCATTCGATTGTTATGACATGAGCTGAGAACTCACTTAATATTTGTGCAATGTGCACAATGCATGCAATTATGGTCCCTTGCAAGGTCTAAGATTGATTTAAAAGTCGCTAAGCTCTGGTGTTTCGTTTAGTAATTTTAAAACGTGTCCATCATTCTTTTGAGAGGACATTAAGACATTTATCTCGCTGTGCAAGACATTCACACATTATAAACCAAACCTCTTAGAGCTCCAACGGAGATATGGATGTTTACCCATACACGAGTTTGGGTACATATTTCCTTTTTTTATTAAACCAATTGAAAATAACTTTAATTTTTTTTTCAGACTTTGACCATTTACTACTGTTAGGAGAGACAGTACTGGCTTCTTTTCCAGTAAGGTGTCTTACAATTAATGTTCCAATGTTCCAGATCAGAACCATACACAAGTGTGTGTCCACAAGAAGCAGGCTCACATGAGAGCCAGGCCACTGAGGGTGTGTGTGCGTGTGTGTTTCAGAAGCGCGATGTGCCGGACTATCTGTGTGGAAAGATAAGCTTTGAGCTGATGAGGGAGCCTTGCATCACGCCCAGCGGCATCACATACGACCGCAGTAACATCGAAGAGCACCTACAGGTACTGCTGCTGTTCTTGCTAATAAAGGATACCATTTAAAAAATATTTTGTGTGTGTATTGTACACCTGCATCTCTCTGCTTAGATCGAGGTATTTTGAGTGAGAGCTGCTTCATTCGTTGTCAAAAGTTTATTTCACCAGGTAAAAACTTCAGTCCACATGGACTCTTTTACAAGGTTGACCTGGTCAAGGTGGTGAGTTAACAAGTTATTTGTTGTTGTATCATAAAGAGGTGGATAAGAAATAAGAGGCAGATGAGATCAAATTGGAGTGATTTTGAAAAGGTGAGCATGATGATGAAAAGTGAGACAAGTGTGCCAAAAAAATAAATTTTTCATACTCTGGTTTTTTCTGTAAAGTCACGTACTGAAAAAACCAAAGAGTATGAATCCTTGCAGTCACGAAAGCTTCAAATCTAGAAAGAAAGTTTCAATCAGTGCATAGTACCTGTTGTGATGCATGGTTCAGAAGCAAGGTCATTCATGAAAAATATAAAACAAACATTTTAAAGTGCACAAGAAGCATGGAGAGATGCATACCTGGAATTACATTGAGAGACGGAAAGAGAAACACGTGCATTAGAGCATACGCATGTTAATGACATTATTCACACTGTTAAGAAATGTAATTGGGTTTTTTTTGTATTCAGGTAAAAAATCTATGTAGAATACAAAAATAAACAATGGAATATGTTACACTAACATTTTTTGTAAGTAATTGACATTATTCAGACCTTTGAAACGTGTTAAGCAAAGAAAAGATATTTGAAAATATTGAATATACATCTTTATTATGCCATTCATACCTTGTGTAAATCAATACCCACTTATAAAAATAAATTAATAAGAAAATACCTTTAGAACTCTTATATTGAATGTGTAAAATAAAATGTTCTACTTTACTTTTATAGCATCACATGGACTTGATTATTTGCTTGAATCTATTCATGGGAAATACATATTCATAAATTGCATGTATTGAGACTATTAAAATGTAAATATTTCCATTTCATACAAATATTATGGATGCATAGTTATGAGTTTAAACATGACACAAACATATTTTTCATAACTCTTGTTTACGATTTTTTCCCTTTTGAAAATTGCTTGTCTCAAGAAAATACGAAAAACAAGTTCAGTGTCCAATGTATGAATTCGAATGTAGAGGGCTGGACCGTGTACTATTTTGCTCCTTTGTTGCCTAGCTTGCACAAATACACTAGAGTATGAGAGTAACCTGCAATAAGATAACAGATAATATTTTGGTCATCAGAATTTACCACCACAATGCACATAATCTTTGGTAATGTATGCGGTACTGGAGATTATGTTGATTAAAATGTTCTGTGCACCCCTCACCTCCCCCCCCACATGTCTTGTGTGCAGCGGGTTGGCCACTTTGACCCCATCACACGGAGTCCCTTGACTCAGGACCAGCTCATCCCAAATTTGGCTATGAAGGAGGTGATCGACGCGTTCATCACTGAGAATGGCTGGGTGGAGGATTACTGAGAATTCTAACTGGAACACGCCACTGTGGGGCGCACGGAGCACTCACATCCCCTACGGATCGTAGATTCCGTCACTCGGCTGCTTCAGCACGGATGTTTGGCCCGAGCGTGCGCTGAGCTTCTTTGGCGGGGTGGGGGATGGGTGACTACTTGCTGGGGTTGAAGACCAGTTCACGTTCACGTTGCGTGTTACAATGGGTTTGATTTTTGTTGTTTTCATGTAAGTGCGATTAATCCAGTATGGGTGGTTATACTCCTTTCCACCGATAAGGCGTAATATTCAGAACGCGTAGATATAAATAAAATTGCCATTGTATACAATGTGAGCTTGAGAAAGCTACTGTAACCATCCACGTACCTTTTTGAGTTGGAGAGTTGTGCAGGAAAATCGATAAGTTGGCTGTAAAAAAAATTACTTTACATATACAAAAACATTAGACATGCATATATGTTGTAAATACAAGCAAGACAACCAAATCTGGGATTTGGTAAACTTTTCTTTTTAAATGGACATCGTTTATGTTGTTTAAGTGTAACGTATTAAATATCTCCGGCTTGAGTCAGCTTCCAGTTAGAATTACAAACGAGGTTACATCTCGGCAGGTAGCAGTGCTGTTGTAACGTTCTCTAAAGGCCACTTGGCTTTCTGTTATGTATTATTAAAGACCGCTCAACAGCATGACATCAAGCAAGTGCACCTTTATTTTTCAAAGCAGTTGATAGCACGAGAAGAGTATGTTCTCTGGTGCATTGTAGGGAGCTTTGGCACAACTCAGACCAAACCAATTTGAAACTGCCAAAAGCACGCACGTTTAGCCATACATTGAGTTTAATTTAAAAGACGTCCATATAAGCCAAACACTGCTGAATATATACCACTTTTCAGTGTATTGGAGTAATTCCTACTTGATCACAAAGACTGTAATGTGATTAGCCGTACACTTCCTGCTCAAAGACCAGTTTACGATTGATACCTGGCACGAATTACAGAGCAACAACTTCCCTTGCTGCACAAAAAAATAGAATTTGCCAAACTTTAAGGGCTGCCAGGACAGTAGCATGGTGTGAGCATAAGTTTCGAACCAAGGACCGTTTAACATCCCACTTGCTGGTGTGTGTATAATGCAGCCGCGTGCACTTGTCGTTACATGCACTTTCACGATGTTCATGTAATGTTCTCAGTACTTGTCAGGTGTTGCACAGAGTCCAGTCCTGTCGTCTTGAGATATGAAAGGTGAGCTCTGCCGTTGTCTCGCTCATCGCAGCTGGAACTTTGTTTAGCGCTGTTTCAACGCTTGCTTCGTTGTGCGACGTTTCTTTTTTATCGTTCCCTGTCAGAATATGTACAGAGACCGCATCCTTGGACTTCAGTGAACATATCACACTGTCTGTAGTGGTGAGAATATATTGTATACTTTCTTTTGACAAATAAAGATTTATGAAAAACAAGTGTACTTAGATGTTTTGCCCATATAAAATGTGTTGAGATATACTTGTGTTTTATGCTAATCCTCAAGGATAGTATTAGGTGTGCTATAAAAAAAGAATGCAAAATATGAACTACAAAAACTGTTAATAATGTCGCGTGGCAAAGCGCTTCAGTTTCAATCCCAGTCAGGAGTTAATCCAACACAATTCCTCTCGGGTCAATACATCTAGCACTATGTGGTAAGCCAACTGGTCATGGATTCTAGATTTGAAGCTTTTGTGACTGCAGGGATTCATACTCTTTGGTTTTTTCGGTAAAGTCACGTAGGTTAAAAAATAAAATAAATAAATTAAATCACGTTTCGGAGGCAACAAATTCCCTTGCTGCAGACGGAAGCTTGTGTTGCCTCCGAAACGTCGTGATTTAATGTATTTGTTTTTTAACCTACGTGACTTTACCGACAAACCAAAGAGTATAGTGGCCGTGGTCATTTGAATATGGAATTTCCACAACTGGATTGGGGGCGAAAGGGGCACTCCATCGAAAATATGTACAGGAGTGAAAAAAAAATCCTCCACCCATGACCTATCCACTGCTAGATGAAGGCCTCCCCAAGCCATTGCCATCTCAAGTCCTGCGATGCCCTCGAGCACAAGATGATCCCATCACAGTGCATGGCCCTCATTCAGCTGCCAGTTTCATATCACTTTTTTTTTATTCCAAAATCATATTTTCGTGATACGGTGCTCATTCTTTGGGAACCTTTTCCTGAGAAAATGCTACGACTGACCTCGCTTTCGCACGTTTGTGATTTAGAAATGCACGCTCGAGTGGGATCACCGTCCCCTGCTGCTGCTCCTACTGCCACCCGGTGGTACCCATCGGGCTATTGCGGGGCAGTGATGTCTCAAGGCCTATTTTTTATACAGAATCGGAATAATTTCTCATGGAGGAATCTGATGAGCTCCTGTTGGCTTTTTTATAAAGTGGTCCTCATAAGACGTTTACGATGACGACTGTCCTTGTTTGTTCACCGTATATATTCTCGTGAGTGGAGTAGATTTCTGCTTCACAACGCAAGTGCTGTAGCACGTGCATCGTGGGGAGGGCCAATGGGCGCGTTGCTGCGGAAACCCAAGAACCGTACGGCGCGAGGGGCATTGTGGGTGGAGGCGAAGTGTGTCTCTGTGGCTCTCTTGGCGTGCGAGCGCGGGAAATGGCCAAACATCATCCCGATCTGATCTTTTGCCGCAAACAAGCCGGCGTGGGTAAGAGAAGAGCGACCCACCTCTCTCGTCCGTGTTGTCGAGTTTTCTCCCGAGGGTTCCCCTCGCGAGGCGTCGCCGCACGCGGGTCGACACTAGGCGAGACGCAGGCTCCCACACGAGGGCAGGCCTCTTCTCAGAGTCTTCGCGGTTAACTTGCGCTTAATGTTACTCTTGATGTTGCTGTTCTTGCTTGTTGTGTCGTTTTTGTCTTCGATTGTTTAACCGCAAGAGGTAAATAAGCATGTGCCACCGGACTCCCGTGTTTGCGGGTGTAAGAGCAGCGCTTGGGTCTCCAGTGCAGATCCGATGCAAGTGGACTGAGTGATTCACAATCCAGATGTAATTACATGAACGTCACTCTTTAATAACTCGCAACGATGTTCAAAGTTAAGTTGATTTATACGTGGTTTGAGCTAATAAATTATGTCAATGCAATGTGGCAATCAAGGTAAAGTTGAAATCGGATGCTTTAAAAATGCCAAGGAACAAACTTCGTAGACTAAAGTTAATCTAGAAAGTTAACCTTTAGATAAAACGGCATGTTGAGTACCACTGGGATTTCAACAGATCCTATGGATGGACTCGTCAGAGAAATGAGGAATTTGTATCACTGGCTTAGGGCGCTAAACAAGATGACACAGCCTCAATGCTCATTTATCAAGACTTCACTTTGACTTAATCTTTATTGTAAACCCTAATTGTAGGGTTACATGCACACACCTTTAATCTGGCAGAGCTGAACGGATTCTACAACCCATTCTGGACATCTGCGAAAAATAGCTTTATAGATAATCGGATTCCTTCAGTCTAAATAAAGATTCTGATTTTGTTTGTCATTACTCAGGACCCAGACACCATTACAGTTTCATTACGAAGTTCTGTGCCCATGCGTGTTAGTGAGATGGTTGCTTATCGCACACGATTAAATATAATGAACGAGGGATGGCTCACTGAGTCTTAGGTTTTTTCACGTGGGTCTATCATTGGGAGGTTTGGCAATTCATTTGTGGGAAGGTACAGGAGGGACCTTGAGAGAAAACCCAGGCTGATGAGGTGGAAAAACTATTCTTTGCAGTCAGAATTGCAAAACCCATTTGGGGCCATCCATTTAGTATGTACGCAAAAATCTGTCAAAACTTGACCCCCCCCCCCTTCCTCCCTGTACGCATGCGTACTTTTTACACCCCCCCCCCCCAACTGCGTACGTACGCTTGACGTACCCCCCGAATCCTATAGAACGGCCGATATTTAATACACGCAGAAACGATCAACGTTTAATATTAACGTAGTAGTAGGTTTTTACCCTATTAAACTGGTACAAAACTGACACCTTTATTCAAGGCATCATGTTTGCAATAACCACAACACAAGTAGTAAAAAAAAAGCAAACAAAAAGAAGCAATTATTCTTTGTTTCTTTCGGTTAAGTCACGTCTAAAGATAAAATAATAAATTAAAATAGCATATTACGACGTTTCGATTGCAACACAAGCAATCATCATCAGGCATAAAGAAATAGCAACAAAAATCTAATTAGAAAACTATAGACAGACATACAAGCAGACAGACATCACAACGGCACACAGAGAGAGGACACAAATCGGCACAAAGAGAGGGGTCGTTTCTGTGACGGTCCCTTAAATATAGAGGGGGGCGGGGACGGAGAGAGGGAGGGGGCAGAGAAAATTAGCATATCAATGAGTGTACGGCAACGTACTGCTGCTGCAAGTAAGATGACGACGTGGCACGGGCACGCAAGCTTGAAAATTAGGAGAAAGGCACACGAAATTTAAATAACCTAGCAAAATATCGAAATGTGATGTAATACAACACAGAGAGTCGGTTAACACACAATTAACGCATAGCCTGGTTGATTACGTATTTCAAAGATTGCTAAGTTAGAATTTTAAGTGTGAAAATTCCAAAGAGAGGACACAGGCAGAGAGAACAAATAGCCAGAGAGAGAAAAAAGGATAAGCTTAAAACTTCCCCGTAGAAGTGGTTCAATCTTAATTTTGGAGCTTTCGTGACTGCAGGAATTATTCTTTGTTTCTTTCGGTTAAGTCACGTCTAAAGATAAAATAATAAATTAAAATAATAGCATATTACGACGTTTCGATTGCAACACAAGCAATCATCATCAGGCATAAAGAAATAGCAACAAAAATCTAACTAGAAAACTATAGACAGACATACAAGCAGACAGACATCACAACGGCACACAGAGAGAGGACACATATCGGCACAAAGAGAGGGGTCGTTTCTGTGACGGTCCCTTAAATATAGAGAGGGGGGCGGGGACGGAGAGAGGGAGGGGGCAGAGAAAATTAGCATATCAATGAGTGTACGGCAACGTACTGCTGCTGCAAGTAAGATGACGACGTGGCACGGGCACGCAAGCTTGAAAATTAGGAGAAAGGCACACGAAAATTAAATAACCTAGCAAAATATCGAAATGTGATGTAATACAACACAGAGTCGGTTAACACACAATTAACGCATAGCCTGGTTGATTACGTATTTCAAAGATTGCTAAGTTAGAATTTTAAGTGTGAAAATTCCAAAGAGAGGACACAGGCAGAGAGAACAAATAGCCAGAGAGAGAAAAAAGAATAATTCCTGCAGTCACGAAAGCTCAAAAATTAAGATTGAACCACTTCTACGGGGAAGTTTTAAGCTTATCCTTTTTTCTCTCTCTGGCTATTTGTTCTCTCTGCCTGTGTCCTCTCTTTGGAATTTTCACACTTAAAATTCTAACTTAGCAATCTTTGAAATACGTAATCAACCAGGCTATGCGTTAATTGTGTGTTAACCGACTCTCTGTGTTGTATTACATCACATTTCGATATTTTGCTAGGTTATTTAATTTTCGTGTGCCTTTCTCCTAATTTTCAAGCTTGCGTGGCCGTGCCACGTTGTCATCTTACTTGCAGCAGCAGTACGTTGCCGTACACTCATTGATATGCTAATTTTCTCTGCCCCCTCCCTCTCTCCGTCCCCGCCCCCCTCTCTATATTTAAGGGACCGTCACAGAAACGACCCCTCTCTTTGTGCCGATATGTGTCCTCTCTCTGTGTGCCGTTGTGATGTCTGTCTGCTTGTATGTCTGTCTATAGTTTTCTAGTTAGATTTTTGTTGCTATTTCTTTTATGCCTGATGATGATTGCTTGTGTTGCATTCGAAACGTCGTAATATGCTATTATTTTAATTTATTATTTTATCTTTAGACGTGACTTAACCGAAAGAAACAAAGAATAATTCCTGCAGTCACGAAAGCTCCAAAATTAAAAAAGAAGCAACTCTGATAATGATAATAATATGCACTGTCCTTGAAGTTGATTGGTCCACACCTGAGAGAGCTTTTAGAGCCTAGTCCCCATTGGTGTTGGACCAGATGACACCAGAAGGCGTACAAACATGATGCCTTGAATAAAGGTGTCAGTTTTGTACCAGTTTAAAAGGGTAAAAACCTACTACTATATTTTGCCACTGGTAAAAGAGATCTCAGTGTAACATTAACGTGTTTGAGCAAACAGTCCACCGCCGGACTAACTAATTTGAAGGCCAATGTAGACAAATTATTAGCGAGGCTTCACTCCCCCCCGCCCCCGCGTTTCGCGTTTCGCGTTTCCTATGCGTACGTACATTGTCAGTAGACCTCCATACGCAAGCGTACACATTTGGGTTAACCGCCCCCCTCCATGCGTACGTACTAAATGGATGGCCCCTTTCCTGTATTCTGCCGTCTCCTGAAAACCACGGCCCAGTTTGCGATTTGAGACTATAATTGTGTTCTGCAGTAGCATATCAAATTTAGTTTTGCTGTTTGGTTAATTCTGTTAATGACCTGGATCAGTAGATTGTATTATCTTTCTGAGAATTGTTGACTTATTTACCTCGTTTTGTCAGGAAGACGTACTGAGTTAAGTGGGTTAGGCATAACGCTAATTTACTATATTGTAGTGTAATAGCTTCATGAGGGTGCACAGCTGTTTTAGTTATCACGGTGACATTCAGAAATTTGAGCATAATCGCTGGCAGTACACATTACAAAATGCATTCGTGTTGGTAAACATGGCACTTGGAATAATGTCTCCAATTATCTTAGGGCATCTGCATGTTATTAAATTACAATTTTACTACCATTGGCAGTGTATACCACGTCCATATTCATTTTTCTATCTACATGACTTTACTGAAAGACCGAAAGAGTATCTTCTTGGTTCTTTCGGTAAAGTCACGTAGAAGGGAAGTAATAAAATAATAAAAATAAAACATAATAAAACAATTCTCACACAATTCTCACACAGTGACTTTACCGAAAGAACCAAGAAGATGAATCCCTGCAGTCACGAAAGCTTTAAATCGAAACCCAAAGAGTATATAAATACCGCTCCTTACCCTTCTTGTTTTGCAGCCATTGGCAGACTCTGTGAGAAATGTAAGTACAATTTAAATTCTACTCCATATTCATATCAGTGCTGTATTTGTCAACAATGCTATTTGCCTGCATAAACAAAAATGTCATTCGTATTCTTTGTCCATAACGCAGCCATAACAATAAAAACAATTGTTGGTTTGCTAATTTATAGCTGTTAAATGGTTATATTCCGTGTTTGTATTATAGTCAGTGTATACCACGTCTATATTCATTAGGGTTCCAGCCTGCTCCGGAATCTTAACCATTCATCACCTCACTTATTCCAATGTGCTAACCATGTGAGTTAACTCTGTTAGTTTGTCTGAGGTGCACACCATTAACTCCTAACCCTAACATGCCCTAGTCATTTTAGTCAACTTTCTTTCATCTTGGCTGAGATGGGTATCGCCGTTCATGCGTTCTTCCTTGTTCCTTAATTTTTGATTTGATGCGAACCAGTCTGTTAACCCCTGAGATTCGTCTCGCCATCCTCATCCTCTCACTGTGCATTGTGCTGATGTCCCCTTGTGCGCAGGCGATGGAAAGTGTGTGATCTGCGACTCGTACGTGCGGCCCTGCACGCTCGTGCGCATCTGTGACGAGTGCAATTATGGCTCGTACCAAGGCCGCTGTGTGATCTGCGGGGGCCCCGGAGTCTCAGACGCCTACTACTGCAAGGAGTGCACCATCCAGGAGAAGGATGTGAGTGTGACCCTACTGCACCTTGGGTTGGGTTATCGCTCATAGAATTGGCTGTAAAGCAATAGTTTGATGCACTTACTGATTCTCTCATACTTCATCACTGGGGGTCAGTCATCTTGTCACACTTCTATTGCTGATACCGCAGTGTCGTCAATTTGACTCATTGATTACTTCAGCCATGTTGAGGACTTGGTCTACCAGACTGGCTCTCTTCTCTCATCTAAATTGTGTTGAACCATCATGCTGAAATCCAAAGCACTACCCATTCTGCTTCTCCCCTCGCACTGCTCAACTTTGGAATTCCCTGACATAGTTTATTTTCCCAAGCTCCTTATTACCTTGCTGTAATCAACGTGTGAACTCATTTACACTGAGATCTCTTTTACCAGTGGCAAAATATAGAAGTAGGTTTCTACCCTTTTAAACTGGTACAAAACTGACACCTTTATTCAAGGCATCATGTTTGCAATAACCACAACACAAGTAGTCAAAAAAGCAAACAAAAAGAAGCAACTCTGATAATAATATGCAGTGCATATTATTAAGAAGGAACTCTGATAATGATAATAATATGCAGTGCATATTATTATCATTATCAGAGTTGCTTCTTTTTGTTTGCTTTTTTGACTACTTGTGTTGTGGTTATTGCAAACATGATGCCTTGAATAAAGGTGTCAGTTTTGTACCAGTTTAAAAGGGTAAAAACCTACTACAACGTGTGAACTCTTAACTTTTACAACTTTGGACTGTTGGTTGCTGGCTGCTTAACGTTCTGGGCCTTTGAGACTATCCTCTAGCAACTGGTTTTAGAATGTTTCTCACCTGGAATGTGCCTGATCTCATTATCTCCAAAACTACGCAGGGTTGAGCTTGGATAGTGCTTGGATGGGCGACCACCATGCATACATTTACAGGTGTTATGGGCTGCTTCATATGTTGGCAGTGGAAGGCAATGCAGAAAAATCCATTGTTGACATGTACCATGCTCCCATTTCTATACTCCCTGCCTTCAGTCTACACTGAACAGCATAATGAAATATGGTCAAATAACCCCTACAACTGGCACGTCATAGGGAGACTCATCTTTATGATGTGGTGTTGATAGCTGTGATACGATTATTAGTGTCATGTTGAGTTTAATGTTATGTGTTAATCATAACTGTTATTTTGTGACCTGTGTATTTCCATATTGTAAAGTTCATTGTTAATTTCATTGTTTATGTATTTTTCTTTCTGTTTTCAGAGAGATGGTTGTCCCAAGATTGTGAACCTTGGAAGCTCTAAAACAGATTTGTTTTATGAACGCAAAAAATATGGATTCAAGAAACGATAACCTTTCCCAGCATCATGACACACCACTCACATTTAAGTTTTTTTCTAATGTGTTTGTTTTAATATGATGGAATGCCTATTTTCTTGCGATTGTCTGACGAGAATTTTGTGGATAATTTCTTTAAAAATAAGAACATTATTACCATTGGCTTGCACTGTGTGATATGATGGTCACATTGTATATTCGTGTGGAATCCTGTTTGCAGCCATGATGATCTTAGCATACCATGTGGTATAATGTGATACATTGTGCCCTGCGTGGTCCAGGACTTTACGGTGTTTGGAAGTTGTTTTTATTCACTTTGTCCCAGAAGATGCGAAGGGCAGGGAAGCCGTATCATCAAGTCAAACCTGCATGTTCTCGGATGTTATCAGTTAATTCCCTGGCCTCTCTGGGGGTTAAAAGAAATACGCAGGAATTGTACTTTAATGTTTAACTCGTAAATAAAGTTGATGGCTTCACGCTCAAGATTCTGAACTGGATATATTAAAAATCTCTTAAACATTGTTTTATTCTTACAGAAATTTAAATTAAACTTTAAACTTCATAAAATAAGCTCCAGATTTTTGCGAATGGATTGTGTTATTGGTTAATCTTATTTCATGTGTTCATTCTGTTGTGTTGAGTACCAGCAAAATTCAAGGGATATTTTCACCTGGCAGTTGCTTTGTGTATTGAGCTTGGCAGCTGTACAAAGCAAGGTAATTTGTTATGAGATGTCAATTGAGCAGCCCATTATATATTTATACAAATGTAGATGCATTTTTAAAGTCACAAAGTGGAGATTACAGTTGTATCATCCAAGGTTGCCTATGGAAGTTGTGCTAAAAATATACTGCTCATCAGTCTCCACTTAAATTAAATCTCACTTTCCCCACTCGTAATGAGAGATCACGGAAAGGAGAACAAACTATAGATAGGGTGTAATTGTGCATTGGCGAGCTGTTGTGGTGTCATGATTAGCGTGCTGAACTTTCAATCCGGAGGTCGCTAGTTCCATTCCATCTCCCAGCTCGGCAATAGAAGCAACGGGGCAAATTTCTCATCCTCCAACCTCTCCACCCAGAAGTATAGATTGATATCCCACATTGTATCAATCGGATAGTCGCATGTGGTGGCGTAAAATGGGTACGACCAACTCTTCCAACACGTGTGGTCAACGTGAAAAGGTAGACCAGATACCCGTTGGGGTTTACTCGAGTGAAGGTCATTCTGGCAGTAGTGGTGAGCGGCCAGTCGGTGCTATAGCAATTAATGTGATCAAGCTTGTGAAATGTCGATATTTTGTATTGTTTATGTTGTGTAGGGGCTTCACGTTACCCTTTTCACCCACTCGAGGCCAAAATATTCACATTACTCTACAAAGTATGGATACATTTCGATTTAAAGCTTTCGTGACTGCAGGGATTCATCTTGGTTCTTTCGGTAAAGTCACGTAGAAGGGAAGTAATAAAATAATAAAAATAAAACAATAAAATAATTCTCACGACGTTTTGGCCACAACGCAAGAAGCCGTCCTCAGGTGAAGAACAGGTCTGTCGAGAAGACCGTCTGAATGACAACCTCAGGCTTGGAGCGTCTTTTTAAGCTGGGTTGGAGGGGGGGAAGAGCGCCTTGACAAAATAATTTGCATTTCAAGAGGAATTTAGCATATATATATAAGCTGGGTTGGAGGTGGAAGAAGAGTGCCTTGACAAAATAATTTACATATCAAGAGGAATTTAGCATATTTATGGGAAATGCGTAGGAGGTGGGCTGGGGGGTTTCAAAGTCATATGCCCATGCATTATGCAGGATTAGCAGCATCAAAGGGAGGGGGTAGGGGGTAGCATTAACAAAGGGAGGGAATGTTAATAGTGTGTAGAAGCAGGAGACCCGCAGCGGAGCAAATAATGCATTCCCTGTGGAGAACACAAGATACACAGTCAATGCCAGTGAGTGGATTGCGGTCTGAAATTCACCGTAAACGTGAACAACAATCAGTTAAGATCCGAAATGGTTTATTACGTCCTTCCAATGATTGCTGAGCCAGAATCCATCTTCTCGGTTGAAATTGTCTCTGTGTTTGTATATGTGGATCGCCTCATGAACGAATCTCTTATGGTAGCCAGATGGCTTGCAGAGAACCTCCGTCATGGAGAAGTCAATGTCATGTGAGCCCACTGAATTGTAACAGTGATCTGCCACGGCTGAGGTGTTTGTCCTACCGTGTTTCAGGTCTGCTTTATGTTCACGGATGCGGTCCGAGACATGTCGTTTGGTTTCTCCAATGTAACTGCTACCACAGAGGAAACTTAGTTTGTAGACGCCAGGGTACTGTATGTCTTCCACCTCCAACCCAGCTTATATATATGCTAAATTCCTCTTGATATGCAAATTATTTTGTCAAGGTGCTCTTCCTCCCCTCCAACCCAGCTTAAAAAGACGTTCCAAGCCTGGGGTTGTCATTCAGACTCTGTCTTCTCGACAGACCTGTTCTTCACCTGAGGACGGCTTCTTGCGTTGTGGCCGAAACGTCGTGAGAATTATTTTATTATGTTTTATTATTTATTATTTTATTACTTCCCTTCTACGTGACTTTACCGATAGAACCAAGAAGAAGAAAGTATGGATAATCGCTTATTTAATTGTGATCCTGAATTACACCCTTGATATACAGTACAGCACAAGCTGTTCTTGGTTTGTCCAGTAGATGTCCTAGGATAGCTTTGACTTGGATATATTTGCAACATTTCCTCCCTATTGCATGTGCAACAGAATAGAGATTATCTAACTGCACGTGAATGCTTCATTTCAAATAAGTGCAGCTTTGGAAATCAGTTTGCAACCAAATCTTTAAAATCCATTTTGTGTACAGTTTAGTGTGTAATGTTTTAACTGTTAATTAAAGCATCATTAGACTTAAACTCATCTTAGGTTTGACACCTTTTCTGCTGGAGACCAAACCCAGACATACAGCATTTCACGTTCAGTTTTTCAAAATGCAATTTATTGTAATAAAGTTTATCAAAATACTGAACCAGCAGATCTCGTTACAAATTACTGCCTGTTCCCCAAATACAGATGACAATCACCAGACTCGTAAACCTCAACCTTATGTCACGGGCTCTCTTTTCACCAACCGTTATTGACCAGCGTGGTCAGATATGGTCAAACAAACCTACACGTTTTGGGGAGGCCTTTATCCATCAAAGTTTAAAAAAGGCTGTGAAATTGTAATTTAATGAAGAATTTGTGAATGGGTACGACTGCCGATATTAGTAAAGTATAGGAATTAAACTTTACTAGACGGCAGTGTTCTCGCTTTTGTACTTGTGAAGCAGATTTAGTGCAAGTGAGCTCAATTGTAAGCTTGTAAACGCGTAAAAACTGCAACATGTTTCCTTTTGTTCATCCGTCTCAGTAAAGTAAGGTGCTGTTTGTGCTCTTACCTCAATTAGCATTGGCTGTCATTGAGCGGGTGAATAATACAACCATGTAATGTAGTGCAGTAAGCATGGGATTTGATTGTGAATTATTAAAAACAATGTAATTCCTGTATGTTTCAGAGGTCATAAAATCTGCACCTGTGCTTAATTTGTGATGCCAAGCTGCATGCAACCGGAGTGAATTAACATTGTTGGCCGATGATAACAGAAGCAGCACCACTGTGATGTCTGCAACAAGAACCACCCTCGCCGCAGTGTTTAGATTCTAATGGTGCCCTTATCTAGACAAGTTACGAGTACTGTAATTACTTTTTCAAGACGATCTTGCTTTGATTTCAGTTTTGTTCATTCAAACATTCAAAAGTTATAGCCATAGAACAACTGTTGGCTTCCCCATAAAGTGGTACTCATCGACTCTGGAGGGATGATGGGCCGGTTATAATTGTAAGCATTGTTTTACGTGTGGGAGGAAACCGGAGTACCCGGAGAAAACCCCACTCTTAAGTTCCACGTAGACGGGTTCACGAGCCCACTTGCTCTACTCCCGTTTGGCCACGAAGCAGCCCAGCGGAGTTGAGAATTCACAAATCGATGTGATTTACTACTGACCCTTGCTACCAAAGCGCTAGGTGAGAGGCATGAGCCACCAATCCTGGCTCTGAAATTGCAGATTCCTTTTTTTCCTTCAACGCAAAGGTAGTGGCTAGGGAATATGATGGTATAATTTACACTGAGTTGAGAATAATTAAGCATTGAGCGATGAAGCATGTGGAAACGTGATGATTGAGTTTCGGGAAAGTGCTAAATTAAACTGCATAATTACGTTGCATGCATTAACAAGCGCGTTTATGCACATGCATTGGTACTAAAATGTATACATAAAAACTGCAACATGTTTCCTTTTGTTCATCCGTCTCAGTAAAGTTCAAAAAGAAGTAAGAAAACTATGCCTCCACCCCATATCTGTCCCTCCACGTAATTATTCTTTTTACACATACGTTCAACACAAGTAAACTGAGCAGCAATTTGGTTCGCTTGAACCAATGCTGGTGAACTGCCAGATGCTCACAGGCATGGGCCCTCTGTTAGATATGGGTCCCAGTTAATTTCAGTCATTCTCAGGATCGCACCACTTGAACAGTAACAAGCCACGGGCAGAGCCATATTAAGCTAGTGCGTGGCTGTAGCATATGTTATAAAGGGGTCCTAAATATAAAAAACAAAAATTAAAACAACATTTTACTTGCATATTAAATTAATTGAAAAAATGCATTTGCTATACAGCCAGATAATACGACAAATCGCTAACCTTAAACCCCCAGTCGTTCGTAAAAGTTTAAGGCAGTATAGTAGAATAGTAATCGAGCAAGTGCAGAATCACTGACCGGAATTAATAGCTTTAAAGCATTTAGCTCGGGTCCCTTGAAAGTGCGGGGCCCGTAGCTACTACATATGTAGCTACGTTTGCTACTGGGATAATCCGGGACTGGCCACGGGCACGCACGGGTCCGCTGTGCGTGTACAGGGTTTGCAGCGTGACTGCACGTTTTGGCTCCAATGTGAATTTCTCTCTGGCGGAATGCTTTACGACTGATGTAAGCCGTCGTGACTTCACTGCGTTAGCGGCGATGGTTAACGCGGCCCAAGCGTCGCACCCGCTGCCAAGCTCCACGGGCCACGCAGCCAGCGAACCATCAGGGATGCCAGCCCCCCACTGTCTTCTACAGCAGTGCAGCGTGCTGCCGACTGCTCGGCATTTGACATTTATGTTTGCTTAAAGGAAGACGACATACATTTACAGCCTCAAAAGAGTAAGCTGCTCTTGTAGATACATACTTAGGCTGTGTATCCCGGGATGGTTACGAGGCAGGTTTGAAGCTACGATAACAAATATAAATATACTGAAGTTACGGTCAAGGACGTCATCGTAGCAAGGTGGTGATGTCACGCACCTGCATGTCACGTCTACAACGGTGTCGCTAGACCACGCTGATAACTGCACGCCTGAGCGTGACTCACAATCACTTGCAGTAGTATTTAGTCTTAAACGCATTTTTAAAAAAAATGTCGGCTCGGAGAATTATAACGTTTATTTTGAGTGCATTGTCCCAAGTGGATGAAGAGGTC